ATATATATATATATATTTTAAGAGAGATAATTCCTTCATAAAACTTTATATGATCATATGTCCTAGTTAAAGGAAAAATTTTGTTTTTTTTCTTTTTCAAAAATTTCGAAAATCACTCGGTTATTTTAAAACTTTCATCGTTATTTTTAAATTTTCATCAAAATGACCCGAGTGATTTTCAACAAAATTTTTTCTTCGACTTCGATATCTTTGAAATTAAACCGTTTCTGACATATGTATAGTCATATCAAATTTGAATTTATGAAGAATCGTCCCTTAAAATTTTTTAGAGTAATATTCATCCTATATATATAAGAACCGATTAATATCAGCCTGCGAGATATATATTTATATACGCAAAAATAATAGATGCAATAAACGTTAGTTACTTAACATTGAGTAATTGTTCAGTAGTGACAAAACAATATTTGAAAAAAACATAATGTAGAGTACAAAGCAAATTTCTAAGGCAATGATATTCGATTAAATTCAAAATTTTTATTATTCTGGCCAAATGTTTCAATTCACGGGAATTCGTACATACTCAGTTCATTATTTTTTTTCTTTTTATTTTCTTTTTTAATACTAGCCTTATACGAATCAATTCCACGCCTTTTCCTTGTTCGAAAGTTGGAGCATTTTAGGTACATACGTACGAGAAGAATGGATAAAAGCAGAGCGAGTGTAGAGCATTTAGAGAGATCAGGGTGGGAAATGAGGAAGCGTGCGAGACAGAGGATAGAAAGAAGAAGAGAGGAAGAAAGGGGAAAGGGAATGCGCTGCGGTCAGAGAGGAAGAGGAAACGTAGGTGTCGGCAGAGGCGAATGGCTCGACGGACGAATTTCGAGAATCTTCGACTCGAGTCTCCGCGAATAAGACGAGGCCGTAAGTAGGACGATAGGTGGGGGCGAAATTGCTCGGTGGTAACCTCCGACCTTACCAGGGTCGGCCAAGTTCGATAATTACGAATCTACTCCTTACAGCCAGAACGAGTCAGTCTGACCTGATTATTACGATTTCGCCGTAGTTTCGCTACAGTTTCATTTGCTTCATTGTTTAGAATAAACGTGGAAGAAAAGAAGAGGATTCATGTAAGTAATATTTCGTTGTAGCAGTATTTTTTTTATTTTTAATTTGTGGCACATTAATTTTTAATAGAGAGGTGACTATAGCATTCTACGGATAGTTATTTTAGAAATCTTGTTCTGAAAAAAAAAGAATAAGAAGAATTGACCAAAGTCTCACAATTAATTATTCTTACATTTTCCTATCTCAAAAAAATAATTTAAATTTAATTCTACATTAACACATGTTGTTAAAAAATGTAACTATAAAGATAAAATTTGTTTGGAGTGTTACTTAAAGATTAAATATCAAGTTAAATTTATCAAGATACATCATTAGATCCACACGCTTCATTAGTGTGTCCAGCATAACATTTTTACTGATATCGCTTTTTTATTAGATATTGCTAATACGACATTAAAAAATATACAATAAAGTTCTAATGTCTTAGTTTTTATCTTTTTTATGTTCTAAAAATAATTTTATTACAAAGGCGATATCGCTTTGATTGAAATGAGAGTAAATATAATTTAGTTAATTTTTACAATTTTGTAAATATTTTTTATTTCACGTCGCTTTTCTTATTTATTTCTAATTTTTTTTTTTCGCTTCGTTTTACCTTCTTTCAACTTTTTACACTACATCCTTTGCGGCACATTAGCGTGTCGCGAAACATTGAAAAATCCTATCGCGTTACAGCGATAATATGCGACTAATAAAATTTCCAACGATAACATACGTACCGCACGTTCCTCTGTTTCTACGATAAGATGATTGTTCTTGAGCGTAAGGGTGATGATGTTCCCGTTTGCGTTCTTGCTGGTATGATTACCGGAAGTGATGGTGTATTCCATCACGGCCGCCGCCGAGGTAACATTTACATCCATAACCTCCGTCTCGCAAATGTATCGAGGTACGTCTAGGCCATTCACCAGCTGAAATTGTATAGAAATACATTCGTATGATAAAACACATGCAGGAAATCTACGAAGACGGAAATTCCGAACGTTTCATTCGTCACTTCTGCGCGGGGCGAAATATTGATGAGTGTAAAATTTGATCGTAAGAGCGTAAGAAACAGCAAAAGAGAATATTTTCTTCTTTATTAATTATTATTAAAATTTACAAAGAATTTAAATCCTCCGAAACTAAAATCTTTAACTAAATCTGTAACTATATTGACGCTCGGTCTGTAAGACTTATTTAATTTATGTTATTTAAAAAAAATATTTATGTTAATTAATTTTAAGAAACTTAATTTTAAGAAACTAAAATTATATAATTCAAATAAAAGAGAATAAATACTAAGAATAATCTTATAGTGAGAATAACCCAAATTTGAAGACACAACATAAAAAAATTTGAATTATTTGTCATTTTTGACAAGGAGATTTATAATTAGGTGGGTCCGACAGACCCACCTAATTATCAGCATCTTTAATCCTTCAGAGGATTAAAGAAAATTAAATTTAGCGACACACAACCATTTGTCCGAATATAATTCCGTTAATAAATTTTTCTTTTTTTCTTTCTATAAAAGAAAGACGTTACATTAATAACCGTCTAAATTGTATCTTTATTTTATTAATATATTTTTTACACAATCCACTTAGTATCAGCTCGCACTTGGATTTGTTTTTTAATTTACAATTTATTACGATTTATTTCTTGGGAGCCTTATTTTTTTGTATATAATAATATTTGTTTTATATATAATATTATTTGACGTCGTCATAGAATCTCTCGATTTGTGAAACATCTTGAGACGTGATATTCGCAAGATGGGCATAATTTTTCGATGATGTTCGAGAATGTTTAGCACAGGATACGAGAGATTTAGTTACAGTAGATGCGCGAAGGGCTGTCCTAATTTACGAAACGCGCGCAAGAAGAGGACGAACGAGGAGGAGGAGGGGGGGGGGAGGAGGAAGGGAAAGTGGAGAGAAGAAGGGAACGTCTCGTTCAGTTTTTTATCTATCGCGTCGCGAAAAGGCTATTTCGCATGCAAGTAGGTGTTCGCGTGTTCGCGTACACCTATACGTGCGCAGACCATGCCGGTTACGTCGTTCTCCGAGTGCCTTGTGCCAGTGCCAAAGGGTACTGAACCTGACCCAAGGGGCATTGCTCTTACGCTGCGTCTCTCCATTCCTTTTCTGTTAGATCGCTACACACACCGGTCGTCACGTTAGCCAAAGCGAGCAGGTATCATTGCGAGGCCCTGACTCGGTACTCGCGGATGGCAGTCGAAAATACGCGCCGAAACATGAAGTGAACAATATATGTACGAACGTCTCACGCTTTTTTATTGTCGAGCGCTTGTCCTCTATAAGTTGACTCAATGAAACCTACGCTATGATACGTTTATAGATTATGTAATCACTTGTTCTAAGTTGAGCTGTCATCTCTATAAGCTATGTGGAAATTTTATTCGAAATGCATACAAAACAGATTTTATTTTTCTTATAAAAAGTTTGATGTAAAATCACTGTTTTTCAATTTTTAACTCGAGAAATTTTATTGAAGAAAATTAGGAAGCCTTTTTTCTGCTCCCTTAATCGATCCCAACTTATTTCCTAGAATATCACTTTAGCATATTTTGTGTATAAAATTTTAGAAGGGTTCAAAAAGTTATGGAAAAAGTCATCTAGTTTTTAAAGATAGCTATATCAATCGTTTTTACATATATTTGTAAACCATTGGTACGTGTTGCAAAAAAAATGGCATCGCATAGATGAGTTTTGGCCATCTGCTGTGTTCCATATACGTGGCTTTTCACCTTTGCCGTAAATCGATCAGCCGATTATTACCTACTAGGTAGAATTGCAAGGACATGTTGATCAATAGTTTTTACATATTTTATTTCTTCAAAAAAATTGCACAATTAATACGTGCACGATTTGACATCGTAATTTATAAAAATAAAAAATGAATAATGTTTGAGAACATAATTATAGTAACATAATTGTAATTCATTACGAAATATAATCAAAAGTAGACAGCATTTGATAAATAAGTACTTAATATTAGTCAAAGTTAATTTAATCAATTAAGTACTAAACTTGATCACGAAACTAATTAAATTTTCGACAAATCGTTCCGAAATATAACCAACAGGTTACAGAAAATTCACAGATATGACGATCACATATAGTTATTGATATAACTCTGCATGTTTGCGTGGGATTGTCGCATACGCAGATTATACGAGTTCGTGTTGGGTAATCATACCACCGCTTCTAGCGGACATTCAAGTACTAAACACTCAAGGACATTCGCCTGGTTTGTCGTCTGGTTTTTTTTTTTGTTAACACCGTTAGAGGTTGCAGACGGTCACGTCGAATGGAGGACATTTATAGACGAATGTTCTGTAGACAATGACAACCGAATATATATATGGTGTTCCGTAGTTAAATATAATTTTCATTTTATAGCGACTATAAGTACAACAATGCCTTAATTGTCTTTCTTGAATATATGAATAATTAACTTACATTGAATATTTTAACTGATTATTATATGTTGATTTAAAAGTTTTACCCTTTGTGGACTCTTTTAGGTCATTTTTTTATAAGCTGGCTCAATTTTTATAAAATTTAGCTTATGGGATAATTTGATAATGCTTTATTTGAATTTGAGATCAAAAATAAAAAATTAAAAATGACAGATTTAATATGACGGACGGAATTAAAAAAAAATAATTTATTTATAAAACTCAGAGTTTTAGGGAGTTTTTAATTGCACATCAAGTTTCTGTTTACATATTTGAAGCTCATCAGGGCCAATTTTCAAACTGATTTCCAAACTCTAATAATGAACCCTATGACTCTAGATTCTTCTTTATGAATGTTATTATCTTTTTGAACGTTATTTACTTAAAATTACACAATAACAATAAAATATGGTTTTTGCACTGCATATAAATAATTTTAATATATTATTCAATATATTATTCAGCATTACTAAAATTTTTATAAGAAGGCTATGAGCATCAAATTATTAAATTGCTAAGCAATTTAATTTGTGATGTTATTACTGTAGTTCAGTGGTTTGCGTTTCAAGGCCAAAAAAATCAATTCGGCGCGCAATTCAAATAATCACATAAATAGTACATAAATTCACATAGGATCCAGATTGACTATTAAAAACTTTCTTTCTTTTCTTGTTGTGCTTTGACATTTACAATCCTAGAAATTCTTATTTAATGTTATTAAAAAATAGACAAAAAAATAGACAAACAAACAAAGTAATATCTTTTTTAAATTCCGATTATCACTTATAATTTTGAAATTTTCTTACTTTTTTATATTAAAAAAAAACGTATAAAAAAGAAACGATAGCGAAAAGAGAAAAGGATAGGTTGAAGCGAAATAGTATAGTGGATGGAATATACGTTAGTTGTGAAATATCCAAAAGTAACATTGATATTCCATTCGTGACGCATCTTTTAACGATACCGTTACAGGTTCTAGACGGTCAAAATGGTCTAGTCTGTCTATACTACTAACAGACCTGGGCTATACGAATAAATAGACAGCTATGAACTGAATAAAAGACCTTGAATTATTTCATCATCTAAAGTATACATTAAAATCTGATTACGCATCATAGGAATTGAGGTAATTAAAATCGTTTAGACTAAATTACTATCGTCCAATGAAATAAAAGCATAATGTAATTAAAGAAGTACATATAAAATTAAAAATAGATTTTTCTTGATAGAAGTGAGGAAGAGAAAGAGAGGAAAGAGATAGAGATTGAGAAAAAGAGAGAGAATTAATATGAAAAAGCAAATACTACCTTCCTTTACATTAACAACTGTAAATATATAAAAACTAAAACATTGTAAAGTGAGATAATTTATGATGTGCGAAGCAAATATGAAAAATAGATTTTCCTTTCTCTTCTGAGATAAATGTGTTTATATAAAATAATTTGTGTGCGTGTTTTTGAATTTTAATTTTTTGTACTTTTTTTCATATCATATTTTTCATTTATTGAAAAAGAGTACTCATAAGAAATGTGGAAGAGAGTCATAAAAAATATTACAAATAGAAGAAAATATCAAATAAAATGAATTATTAAAGTTGATACCATTTATTATGTCTTGAAACAAATACATCCGTGTGTTTTTTTTTCTTTTGTAACGCTTACATATTAATGTCAATCACTTTGGATGCTCATGCAACATTTATGATCGCAGACAGTTTCAGAAAGGATAGCCGTAGAAGGTACGATTTGGCAACTCGAATTTGTTCGACTTTTATGATAAAAGTCGTGCCAGAAAGACAGAGAGAGAGAGAGAGAGAGAGAGAGAGAGAGAGAGAGAGAGAGAGAGAGAAAGTAGTAACAACTTCGGTGAACGGTACATACAACGGCTTTAAGTTTCATCTTTCTATTTTTATAGTAAGCAAATATGTGCTGGCTTGAAATTTGGGCATTTGTAAAAATCGAGCTAAATATTTAATTTCGTCTTTGTTGTAGAAGAAAAAAATTTTTGCACGAATTTTGCTTGCAAATTTATTAACAATAAAATAGAGAATGCTTCTCAAAAATAAAAATAAAAATAAATGTAAAATCAACAAATAAAATTCCCGTATATTAATTTAAATTTTACAATTTTTTGCTTTAATAATCTTTCGGTTAAAAATATTATCTAAATGTTTTATTTCTCTTAAAGAAAATTAAAACAATGTCATTTATTCCAAAATGAATTATTATAAAATTCTCCTTTCTTTCTATACATATAATATTAATTGTTAAATTTAGAAAATCAATTTTTAACTCTTATGATCTCTTTTTGCTAAAAATATGAAAGAGAGAGAGAGAGAGAGAGAGAGAGAGAGAGAGAGAGAGAGAGAGAAAAAGAGAGAGAGAGAAAGTTGCGAATATAATGCTATAGTTTTGGAAGTTCGCGCTCGCCATATGATGGCGGTCA